CCTCCCCCCGTGCTCCTACCTCGCGGCCCCTCCCCCCTTGGAAACCCTACTCCGCGATCCTATCTAAACCCCAACGAATCCCCCCTCACCCCGGGAACCCCCTTGGGAAACCCTACTCCGCGATGCCGCAACCAACCCCACGGACCCCCTTTTCCCCGGGAACACCCCCTGGGAATCCTAATTTCGCGATCCTTCCCAACCCTACGAACCCCCCTTTCCCCGGGAACCTCCCTCCTTAGCGAACCCTCCCCCCTAAGCCCCTGCTTCTTCAGCCCGCACCTTCTGAAACAAACAAGAAAAATCAAGAATTACTAGTATGATTTGCAACAGGTGACAAAACTGGCTTCTGAACTTCTGTCTCGTCCCTACACTTTAAAGTTCTCTTCCATCAGCATCCATTAACTAGTTAGACGTATTTATGCTAAAAGGAAGTATGTGCATGGTGTTTTCATGCAACATAGTTTCTTTTAGCTTAAATACGTCCAGTTCCCTTGTCAAAATTTTAGCCAAAGCACCACACCCAAAATTAATGAAATCTAATTTCCCATTATTTTTTCGAAATTTTATTTGAAATTCGTCATTCAACATCAATCACAAGTTTTCATTTAGTTGTAGTAACTGAACTGCTTAACGCTAAAAGAACTATTTTTTCTGGCTCTTAAAAAAGTCACTTACTTATGTATGAAAACTTATGGTACTTATCGACGGTGAAACTACCAAACCACGTATCTCGGTTTGCGACGTCGCAGACTTCCTGTCATACTTTATTTTTTAAATGAAAAACTACTTAACGTCCAGTCTTGAAAATTTCTGTGATTTTTCCTCTTCGTGAGGAGAAAATTCTGTGAACATTTCAAGAAATGATATTGATTTGGTCTACTTCAAAAAAATAAAATGTGAGCGTAGATTTTTAAACACCGCAAAGGAGATACGTGGTTTGGTAGTTTCACCGTCGTTATGCTTTTTTATAGTGAACCGCAAAAGATAATTCCCTTTTGTGAAATGCAGTCTAATTACTTCCAGCTGAATGCAATATTGTCCGATAATATTTTAAGAGATCTTTATGCAGAACTGGCAGGAACTGCAATACTTCTCATATATCTCTCTTGACAGCCGAGGGCATTCAAGTTAAGGATGCAATAAGTTTAAAATATAATTATTTTAATGTGGATTTTTCCAAATAATTAAAAATGGATCAGATAAATTTTATTGAACTATTGAATTTTACTGTTAATAATTTCCCCTGTTCAAATTTTACACAACCATGAACTAATACACATTTTGGAGGGCACTACTTCCGTCTTCGATGGCTCATCATCTGGAGAATTTTCTTCGTTTTTTGCAGACCTGAAACAAACTAAGAAATAAAAAAAAAATGATTAGTTGGAGCTCATCCTATCCTGAAAATTAAAACCTCAGTGGAGAATATTTTTGTCTACGATAAATAAACTTGTCGTAACAGATACTTTCTAATACTTTTTTCTGAAATTCATCATAATTACATGAAATTTAATGGAATTTTTCCCTATTTTTGTCATTTTTTCATCCGCAATGCATCAGTAGGTAATTTTAATTTGCTTTTCAAATGCAGAATAATTAAAGCTGTCCCGGTACTTCCTGGTAAATTGTGCAGTACTCTCTGTTAATTTTTGGAAAATTAAAAATTATTAAAAATTTAGAAAGATTCAACCACTAGATTTTTACATCCTATCATGAAACACTTTTAGAAAGAAAAGAGTGACATCACTATCCACATCAATGTACACCGTGATTTAAACTATTTTGGCACCATAAATCACTAATACATTATCTCAGTGGTTGTTACACATGCATCATGTATGATTTGATGGTTCCTAAATCCACCACGTGTATTACGATGATTTGATGGACAATGGTTAAAACATGAAGTAAAACAGCTTTCACCATGCTCTTTTCTTGCCGATCTGAAAAGAGATTAACAAAAGAAAATTAGTTTTGATATACCTTCATGCAGAATGTAAAGAGCAAAATGAAATCAAGTAGAACAGTTTTCTAAGTGCCCATCTCTCATAATCTGACAAAATGCCATAGAGGAAAATCAGTATGAGGTTTAAAACAAAAACAAAACAAAAACAAAAAAACAAAAATTAGAACAGGTAAAACTGCTTTCCTTGCGTTCGTTTCTTGACAATCTGAAAACAAACATAAAAAGATAAAAAAATAGGAAAGAATAAATGTGATATTTAACAGAAAAATTAGCATGATATAAATTGAGAGAAAAATAAAAATGAACTTAATTACTATTTGCCTATCTGGAGATTCAATAATCAAAATGCGAATTTTTGATACTTACAATTAATCTACAGCTTGCCATGAGGAACTGCTAATTCTGTCTCTTTTTCATTTGTGGTTTTTTTTTCACAATTTTTCAATTCGTGAAACAACGTTTGAATCACTTCTTTTTCCATTCGTGAAACAACGTTTGAATCACCTCTGTCTCTTTTTCATTTGTGATTTATTTTCACAATTTTTCGATTCGTGAAACAACGTATGAAATACCGCATCACAAGTAAAACTGCTCTCGTTCCCTGACAATCTGGAAGAAGAAAATAAAGAAAGATGAAAAAATAAACACTAAAAGAACAATAAGTATGATATATGACAGAAAAATTAGAATGATACTTAAGAGAAAATTTAGTATGATAATTGAGAGAAAAATATAAAATTGGACTTACCTAACTCAAATTTGCGAATATCTGGGCGATTCAATAATCAAAATACGACTTTTTGATAGGTACTCACAATTGGACTTCATTTTGCAATTCGGAACTAAAACGTCCGACCCATCTGGAAAAGCACTTATCTGCACAATGACGAAAAAACGGGAAAATAATGAAGCATGTCCGGAGAGATTTACCTAAAATAAAGAATAAAAAAAATTTCAAAATCAAAATTTCAAAAAATTTGAAAGGAAATATTTTCTATTTTAAAAGTGAAAATGTTAAAATTTAAATGATAATATGTTCTAACTTTTAAATAATAACATTAGAGGGTATGAATAAGATATTATATGATGTACTCACGCATCAGAAGCTTAAATCATAAATCATCTTAATGCTCTGCAAATGTCGCGATTCCAGTTGCTGACTGCACCCCTGAATCACTGACCCACTCTTGCTAGCTGCGCCCCTAAACCACTGACCCGCTGACCTGTCCACCCACTGAACAACTTAACTCACTGAACCCACACTGACACTGACTAAACTTTAGGGGTGGGTCTCTCTTTTATAAGCTCATGATCTTTTGGTCTTTAGACACCGCTACCCCCCCCCCCCCNCTGTTGACCCTTCTCGAAATTAGAATGTTCTTTAGAAATCATTAGCCAGGTGCACGGAAGGGTCTATTGTTTTATTGAGGTTGAAGGACCTCACGTCCTCACTGTCTAAAACAATAAAAGGGTGCCCCTTACTGTTAACAGGACGGGGAAATTACCTGTTTTGTTCCTTTGGCGGTCCGGTCAAGAAACTTTGGTACTGCAAAACAATGAAAAAGTTTAACATTTTGTGAACAAGGAAAAGAACACGGAAAGGAAATATTTGGGGGAAATCCGTAACAGTTTTAAACAAAAGAAAAATACCGAACTAAAAAAAAGGGGGGGGGGAGAAGAGAGAAAATTTCTAAGTGAACAGCGTTGTTCTGCAAACAAGAGCTGTGCATATCAAAACAATAGCATTATTATTTCCTAGTTGTAATATGAATATTTTTTCTCGAAATATTCAGAAAGTTTTGATAAAATCACGATCTCCTAATGCTCTGGAAAATTGGGAGAATTGCCTCTTCTGCTGTATACCAAGGTATACGGAATTCCCTATTCCACGTTACGCACAGTGGAACCAACTAATAGAAAAGGTCGGACATGAAATTTGTAGCTAAAATTTCAAAATTTTATGTTTATTTCGTCACAAACTCAATTTCAAAAGGTGCCTCTGACAGTACTTAAATTTCACGAAAAAAACAACGGAACTTGTGTCATAATTTTGAAAATATAAGCTTTTAAAGTTTCCAGATTTTGTCTGACTTCTGCTGTGGACTCGGCCCAGCGTGCGACGCATACAGCGTAAAGGGCAAAGATATCTAAAACGGGCTCTAGTATTCATGTACCGAAATTAAAAATAATCAAAGATTCTCTCATTTCTTGCCTGTAATTTCGGTGCTTAATCGGCGATAATTGGACGTATTTCTGCCAAACGGAACTATGTGCATTAAGACATGAGCCCTGAGACCCATAAGAA